ATATATACAATTTATATAATTATCATCTAAAGTTTCTACTACTGTTTTTTTTTTTTTTAAGTACTGGAGCAGTTATTTGGCACAGAAATCTCGTTAGAAACGACTGGCCGGTAACGACAGCTTGTTACAAAACCCGTATCGTGTTTTTTTTTCATGACCAGCGCCTAGGTCGATACAAATAATTAGTTTCTCAGCTTCATCGTCGCATGAGACCGGAAACTGCATACGATGCGGTTAACGGCAGGACGAGATTGCGGTATTAGCGATACCGAGCGAGAAAACGAATCGACAGACCAAAAAGAGAACAAAATATCCATCCGCTCCATTCTTGTTGTACCATACTTGTCAGCTTTTCTCATATTTTACGATTCTGGAAAAAGGTCGCGCCGTCAGTGCACTGCCGACGAGAATGTATGCAAATCGAAAAGCACAAGGCCGGATATACTCCGACCGTGAAAAACCGGCAGCAGAAAAAAAGAACATGACGAATGAGACCTGTTCTAGAGCGCGTAATGCGTCGTAATTATGTGCGGTGATGTAACCGAAGTATCGTGACTTATAGCATCGATCTCTGTTGCGTATCGTTATGTACAATGAAAGAAATAATTGCCCGACATCATAACTGATTATATATGCTCTTGGAATGTGGAGACGTTCATTTCCTTGCGGAGGAAAACAATGAGAGTCGGACAATGAAAATAAAAGATCTGTATAATAATTATCTGTTAAATAATTAAAATATATAATATTAAATAATAAAAATAATTAAGATATTTATTAAATAATTTTAAAAATATATTAAATAATTTTTTATTTGTATGACGTTGCAATTATGACATTTTTCCGATATTAAAATAGCATCGCGCGACGAAATAATAGCATAGAGTAATTTTTAGAATCTATTAATAAGAGAAGCGGTTTATTCATTGCGGTGTAGGATCAGGATGTTGGATAACGATGCGACACAATGCGGAGCTACGTATAAAGCATTTGCCAGCAGGCACATTCTACGAACAGCGTAGATCTTCCTTATGGGAACTGAAATAATATTATATTTTATTGAAATTTCACTGAATATCTTATTTCTCTTAATTTTTAAATTTCCAACAGTGAATATTTTTACAGCTATGCTTTTTAATTACACACTTTATTCTCTGTATTTTAATAGATTTTAATAAAGAATAAACTCTCTGAAATACTCTGATATACTTATTCTTTATTTTATTTTACTGTTTTTTTTAAAATTAAATTTCTCGAAGTTCCATTTTATTAATCGCTTTTAACTCGATAATTTTTTGTTTTTATGGTAGAAAAAAATATTTTAATTTCCACAAGAATCATCTTATTTAGCAAGCTTATTATCATATATCCCACATAAATACTACTTGTATTCGTGTACTGTAAGGAGTTCCTAATTTAAATTCAGTGTTAGAAGAAGCGTTAATGAAGGCGACTATCGTGAAGTGTTAATGAATGTTAACAATTCAATTCTCGTTCACATGCCATTCATTAACGGTTTTGTTCTCTTGTGATAAAGCTCTTAAGCGTCAAAATAACGTAAGAAAACTTGCAAAGTATACGTGCACGATTCTATCATTCTACATATTCAACAAGATAAATAATATATAATTGTTTAAATGTTAATATTTATCTGTCTGCTAGTATAGTGATGATCTTTCGTGTTCGATTTTGCGATTTTACGATAATAAAATGGTATTGATCGATCGCGTGCGAAGAATTGCGCAATAAATTCTAGTCTCATCGCTACTCCGTTTCTTCACCTATTTGCCATCAAATATAAATCTAAAAATATTAACAGCCGCACTCTGCTCGAATCTCATTGGACGGAAGTTTTTATTTGTTAAC